CTGAACTACTTCCAAGAAGTCATTTGATTCTAAATTCCCAGTCAAGAAATTCCAATTAATCTGACTAAAGTTGAAGTCCCCTAGAATTACTACATTATTATGCATTGTGGCCTTAACCCTTTGACTGTTTTGGTCGTATATATACGTCTTACGAGCCAGTGTTTCAGACGTATATATACTCAATAATTCTAGCGGCTTCAAATCAAGCGGAAGAAAGCTGGTAGGCCCACATGTGAGAGAATGGGTCTGTGTGGTCAGTGTGCACCACATAAAAATCCTGCAGCACACAGTGTGTAATGAGAAAAAAAAAACTGATCGTTTTTTTGGATTAAAACGCCGACTTTGAGGTGTATTTTCGTCGAGTATTTATCGATGTATTTGCGTTTTCATGGTCTTAGGTGATAAAATGGAAAACATATTACAGAAATAGAGATGATTTTCATTACTTTGACGGTGAAAACGACCTTGAAACTGAGCTCAAAGTTGCGGAAATGTTCGATTTTTACCAATGTTCAGGAGTAAACAAATCACACCACACGTCCAATACACGTCAACTGGGGAGTCTAATATTCTTTCACTAGTGCACTGATATTATTTATACCATTTTTACAATAATGCAGTAGTCTGCATAACAGTAAATTTTGTATTTTTTTGTATGAATAAAAAATCAAAATAGAAAGCAATAATAATATAAGAGGGGCCTAGAGATGTGACTAATGAACAGAGGATATGTTATTTTAGTGCCAAGAATGTCTACCTTGTTTATTCTGGACCCTATTTTGAAATTGGCATCTTTTTTAGTTTGCGTGAAATTGGCCAAATTGCCAATTTCTGACCACAATATTGGGTAGTCCAAATTGGTAAATGGGAGGTTTCTTGTACTCAGCTGATAGATAAAATGAAGTTCTAAAGAAATAGCTATGAGTTTGGTCAACTGGAACAACAGAATTGGCTGAAAATAGGGCTCAAATTCGGCGAAATCGCCGATATGCATATGTCGCCAAGACTGCTAACTTCGCGGGAGCGTAATTCCATGAGTTTTCGACCAAATTTCGAACTTTTGGTGTCATTACCATCGGGAAAAGATTCTCTATCATTTCATAAGAAAAATTTTTTTTTTTTTTTTCAAAAATTTAGCGACATAGAATGACAGTTTCAGAAATGGGCCTGAAACAGTCAAAGGGTTAACAATTTCCTTCCACAGTAGTCTCCCTTGGTCCCTATCTAAGGTTGCGGGACAGTATATCACACCTAAAATCAATTTTTCATGCCCCTCTGAAAATTCTATCCAGACAGACTCTGTATGTGTTATTTCTGACTTTATACCCATTTTTATGCAACAGTTCAAGCGATCTCAGACATACAGTGCCACCCCTCCCCCCTTCCCAATACTTCTGTCTACTTGGAACAGCTTAAAACCTTGTATATGACGTTCAGCAGGCATGTCCCGATTTTTCGTATTGAACCACATCTCAGTTTTGGCAAATACATCAATGTTACCTGCACTAGCATCTAACCTCAACTCATCCAGCTAATTCCAAGCACTACGACAATTTATGTAATATACATTTAACGATCCTCCTTTCTCTTTACCCTTCTTGCTCCTTTCTGTTTTTCCACTATACCTATTGCTGTCCTTGTTATTGTTAAGATTTATGATATCAAAGTCTAAATCCATATTTCGACACTAATTATCTTCCATTTCTAACTAATCCTAGTTTAAAGTCCTAACAACACCCTCAACTGAGCTAGCAAGAAAATCCACACCTGCCCTGGATAAGTGAACCCTATCCCTGGCATACATGTCATTTCGGCCATAGAAGTGGTCCCATTGCTCCATCTGACCAAATTATTAGCTATTTCATTAGTATGCCTTCTATTGATTATGCACAAGAAACTGCCCATTCAGCCATTACAACTACCCTATAAAGAACACAGATGGTCATTAGGCCAATTTTACAAAAAAACTAAAAAAAAATTCAGTTTAAAAATAGCTCAAAATAAACAATTCCTGGCACTAAAACAACATTTCCTCTATTCATTAATCATGTCCCCATGCCTCTCCTATATTACACTTGCCTTGTAATTTTCTTGGATAATAAAACATAACCAGGAATGGTTGATCATGGTTTATGGCATCCCAATAATTGAATCAGACCTATTAAAAACCCATAAACCAGACTTTGGAGGGAGGGGGGTATTGTAGGGGGACACTACCCATCCTCTGGAATATTGGTAAAAATTTAATATTTCTGCTACTCTGAGCTCAAATTCCCATCATGCATCACAAGGAGCAGGATTTTTTTGATGTGGTACACACTCACCACACAGACTCAGTCTCTAATATCTAGGCCAAAATTTACCGATCACAGCTTATCTGAGTGAGGCGAGCTGATGAGGTAGAACAACGCCAGGGAAACCATACCACGGACGGGGATAGAACCCACGATCAGAGAGACTCTGATCGTGGGTTCTATTCCCGTCCGTGGTATGGTTTGTTTGCAATCATGTCATTACGATTTCGTGAGTCAAGTTACGCCAGGGACCCTGACCTCAATGATGTAGTTCTATGAGACGGACAATGAAAGGGCTAAAGTGCACAAGCATGGAATTCATTGGCACTGGTAGTGTGCATTTCCATTAAGGAGCGACATGCCAGGACAACCTGAGACTTCCCCAATACGCATTAGGCAACTCAACTGTCTTAGTATTGTGAAGGAGCGTGATGGGATGTCAACTAACCAGCCTCTCATGTGTATCTGGACATGTACTGTACAATTTTACTTAAGTATACATTGTTCAGTTTTTCCATCTTTTCATTGCTTCAGCTCATCTCTGGATATTTATCATGGCTTCAAAACGAAGTGCAGATGATGCTGGTGAAAAGAAGATTAATCACGAACTTTGCCTATTACAAAAAAACTGGAGGCAATGAAGATGGTGAAGAGAAAGACAAGAATCATGGAGACAGCATGAGTGTTTGGTGAAGGAGAATTGATGATTTGGTTAATTTCAGACAATGAGGCAAAGATAAGGAGTAGATCTACAGTCATCCTCTCCACTCACTTCAACATGTTGAGGATCCCGAACTCAGCTTGTAGATAAGTAACAAATAATGTATACTAGTATGTAACCATTTTTAATTAAGTTAATGTACCTTCTTTTAACTGTCTTAATCTAATTAGAGTTCAGGTATTTCACAAAGTATCATTAATGACAATGTTAGGCAAACAAAACTATTATTTTCATGACATTAAAATGATTTGCTAATAGTTCTCTCAGAATTCTGAAGAATGCAACCCTATTTTCCTCTTATGTTTTTCAGTCTATGTCATGGAAATAATTAGTAATGCAGTTTTTGAATTACCATTGCCCACTCCATTAGCATTGCTTTTTCATTCTTTTTTCCTATTCCTTTTCTCAACTGTATATATTTTTGGCATAAATTAATCACTGATACCACTAAGCTGGCATATTTCCTATATACATATATTTAGTGGTTCCAAATACTTTTCTTTTGTCTTTGATTCTTGAGTATCTTCCATTAAACCAGTCTTTTCTTTTGTTGTTGTTGGGTTTGTTTCCTCATTTTGACATAAATCTTTGACACTAATTCTGCACATTTTGCATACCTGTGGCTTGAAGACATTGTTCCAAAAGGCCAACTGCTGTTGGCTGGAGCACCTGACATCTATGATAGAGCATACGGTGCATTTCCATGGTGTTTACATTACTACCATGCACATTACCCAAGGTTTCTTAAATCATTATGGAGACATTTATATCCAGGATCATATTATACATGATCTATATACCAGTGCTGATTAATACAAACAATATTAAGGGAGACTGAGAAAGCACAACTGTTATGCCAGAATGCCTTACCAAAACAAAACCCACAGACAAAGCAATCAGGTGATCTTTAACACTTGTAGCCTACACACTTCTACCCTACACACACTACATGAAGAATATACCCCATAACTGTGTGTTTGCAAAAACACAACTACAGTCATTGGTAAATAAAATTCCCTAGCTTTATTCTTTCTCTGGTATTTTCTTGATCCAATACACTTTACATCTCATGCATTTTGAATTGACAATGTAACACTGTACTAAGGATATGGGGCAACAGGTTTGATATGCATCATGGTACAAAATTCTTTCATACACAAAAAGTCTCAAAAATTAAGATTAATCTTGTGTATTCTGATGAAGTATTTATAAATTCAGCCAGAAGCAAATTCTTGGAGCAAATACACATTTGCCTTGCATCATCTTCACCCCTGTAGTTATACAGCAGCAGTTACTATATATGAATGACAAGTGTCAAAAAACTCTTGTTCAGTGTATTTTTATGTCCTTCGTCTGTTATTGATATTACTAAATAAAATATTACCAGGTATTCAGTGTATGTGTACAACCTACACATTAATCCAGTGCCTTTAACACTAGCTTTAAAATCCTATTATTTAATATTTTTTGCAATTTAGATAAGTCACAATTTTTTTAAAGAGCAATGAGTAAATATTTAACCAAGGTGTATGTACTAGAGTTAAATAGAAGTGCATTTACCCTGACCTCTACATTAAAGATAAAAGAATTATTTACAATTGGCAAATATTACTGCTACTACAATGACTAAAATAATAAAGACAACTACCACCACTATTACTACAACTACCACAACTGCTTTGCAACTGTTTTGACAAGCTATGCGCTGAGAGCAAGAAAGGGTTAAGGCAATCTGAAGTAACTATGTGTTGTACTTAATAAAATGAATAATGAAGTAAAGAGGTAAGGTGTACCATTAAGCCAAACACATTGGTGAGGGTGGTCATATGGAATAACACATTGAGAGCATTATAAACATCACATACTGCAGCAGAGAAGAGCTACACATCATGAAGAGCTGAACAATATGGTTTGGGCACTGGAGAGGGATGGGCACAACCATTGTGGGTGCAACAATTAGCGCAGCCGGGTGCTGTTAGTCTCACCTGCAGTAGTAGTGGTCGCCTGAGTGGCTGTGGCGGCAGCATTGGGCCATGAGGGCCGGATGGACCATGAGGGCCATGAGGGCCTGGTGGACCATGGGGGCCATGAGGGCCGGGTGGACCCATGGACGGTGGCCCTGTGGGCAGGTGTGGGTGGCCCCCGGGGGGGCCATGAGCCATGTGTGGAGGCAAGCGAGGCCCACCCATCACCACCGAGGGTCCTGGACCCATCAAGGCAGGGTGGTGTGGGCTGGGCCTCATCATGGGTGGCGGTGGTGGCCCCCCAACCCCCATGGGGGATCCCACACTGCCTGCCATGGGTCCCCTCACCATCAAACCCTCACTCACCATCAC